TCTAGCTTACTTTATTGTAAGACGACAGTCTAGATACATATTACATACAAAATATGTGTTCATCAACGGTGTATGTTACAGGTAAGGCTTCCAGCCAACAGGAGGCTATGAGCAGGTATGTTTTTGGGGAGTCAAAAGTTATTCATGGATTTTCAACTGCAAGCGCCCCCCAACTCCCATGCCATTCATGGGGCAGTTGTACATTATTCTTACGTCAAAGAAGAACCGAACCCCAAGACCTGAAGATGCTCCTTCATCTCGTGCTTTGAGCTGCCCGCAGGCTGCCCTGGACCACGCTCTGTCCTGCCAGCCTAACGTGGGCTCAGTGAGAGCTCCGGGCGGGGGCCAGGCACAGGGGCAGGGAGATGCATGACGGTCACAAAACTGACACCTGGCACTTGCCTGCCTCCATGCAAGGAAAGGGCTGCATTGCTGAGGAAGCCTGAAAGGGGATTGAACAAATGGCTTTGGACGCAAGACAAGACACTCAGGGAAAAATGGGCTGGTGCTTGGAAGAGGCAGGAGTGTACGGACGCGGGAAGGTGAGGGCAGGTAGCGCCCTGGACTCTAGGGTGGATTCCCTGCCACAGTGACTGCTTGGGTTAGGTGACATGACCCAATGCACGCAGTGCGTGGCAGTGAGACCTTTGTCAGGGTTTCTGGAAACGAGCACAGCACTCTTCCTGGGCTTGGAGCTTGAGCCATTTGGCAGGTGCACTGGCTGCCATGTTGCTACCATGAGTAGACTCAGAGCGAAGCCACGAGAGGGAGTAAAACGGGGTCCTGGTGACAGAGTCTGAGTCCTGGTCAGGTGTCTGTGAAGCCTGTACGAATCCTAGTGTTGAGTTCCATCAGCCGGTCAATTCTCACGGTGTTTTCCCCAGTTTGGGGGAAGGTTTCCATCACAAGTAACCCCCCAAATCCTAACGGAGACATTTCTCAACCTGGTGCAACGAAGCCAGCTCACTCCAAAGCTGAACAGAAACTAGTTTTAGAAGATCCAGGCCAGGCTCCATGTCTGCGAGGTTAGCACTCTGGCAAAGACAGTTACAGCTACACTTCAAAACACCCTTCACGCGCCTCTGAAACCCCATCCTCTCTGCGTCTCCTAGCGGGGGGCTGTTGATTTTCTGCATAAGCTTGCGAATGGCCCCAGGGCACAGCAGGCGTGGGTCAGTGACCACGGGGTGGGGTGACAGCCTAGCTTCCCACCGTTCCCTTTCTCCCTTACTCGCTGCCAGCTTCCAGGTGTCTAGCTAGACATGAGTGACAGGGGTTTGCGTTGTGAGCGAGTTGTGTCAAGGATGTGCTGACTTATCGTGTAGTGAGGCAGATACCTCGGCGTTCACCCAAGTCTCCTGCACCCATGTCCCCAGCCCTCTGGAAAGCTGATGGGCCCTGGGAGTCCTTCTGACCAGGAGGACGTGTGTGGAAGTGTCACCTGTCATTCCTAGGCCACTGCTTAGGAGAGCTTGGATGTGATTCTTCAACTCTCTGTTCCTCTCCATGGTGACCAAGAAGACCACGGGTTCCTGATGTGAGAGCTACAGGAGGACGATGCATCCACTAGTCTAGGTGCCTGGGGGATGGCACAGAATAGACCCTGCACCATTTATGCCATGTACCAAAGCAAGAATAACTGTTGCATTAGGCACTGAGATTTTGGGGTTGTTTGTTGCACCAGCATAGCATACTTATCCTAATACACACGGTACCCCAAAGTTTCCTTATAAAAAAGAGCTGACATAGATTTAGAGAATAAAATGTACGTAAATAATAATAAGCTTGTTATAGGGATATGGCAGATATGGCGAAGCTGGTATGAAAACAAACGAGGTTGAGAAGTCAGGACTCATGAAAGGTAGCACCTCCCAGGCTGGTGGAAGACGGGAAACTTTTCATGTAAACATTCCATAAAACAATTGCAGCAAACACCCTGAGAAAGATAGGAAGGACACGGGATGCAATCAGACAGCGGAACACGGCGCGTCCACAGTCGCACAAGGCTTACCATGGCTAAGGGGACAATGCCAACAAGGTCCTTCTGGCTGACGAAAATCTCAGACACGGCGATGTCTGTGGTTCCCTTCCGTGGGTATTCGACCTGCCAGGTGATGGGCTGGGTCCCCGAGAGGCTGCTGAAGCTGGCTATTTCAAAGTTCATTTGCACAACCTCATTGAACGAACTGCTGCTTCTGGAAGGGAGCAAAAGAGAACAGTGTTAAGCTGGCTTTGTTCAGTGGAAGGGCCCTGTCTCCCGTGGCCCTCCTCCCCAGCATTGTAACTAGACAATAAGGACAAAGAAAACGCATTTCAGTGACAGTACCTGGGACATGGCACCAACAACAAGTCAGGGACCTGGCCAAAGAGTCTTCAGCACTGAGCATTACCCAGCGTTTGTACTGAGGAGTCCCTTGGATTGATTTTTACTAGCTGTTCAGACAATGCGTTAAGCCAGTTTGCCTCACCCTCGCGGTGTGAACCTGGATGACGTTTGAACGAACCTGGATGACGTCTAAGTTCCATTTCCTAAGTGTGGCAGATGCTGTAGGTGGCTCACTCAATGTCATCCAGCCCCACCCTAGCGTCTTCTGTCCCATAAAGGCTGAGAAGCATACAATGAATGACATTTCTAGATGCCCTTGCAGCTAGATTCAGGCTTGAAGAAGAATGTCCAGCAGTTAGAGCCACTCTTCTGGGACTTAGACGCAGAAGTGGGTTCCACAGCAGGAGCTGGGGAAGGAGTTAGGGTTTTCTGGTCCTTATGGGTCAGCTCTGGTGGCGTTTCGGCCACCCAAACCCTCAGATTGTCATGCAAGCCCCTAGCAGTGATGCTTCCACTGCAATAAATAGAGCCCTGGAGAGCTGGTCATTTTTCTTGTCTGTTTTCTGCCTGGGTGTGTAGGAAATACACTCCAACGGGTTTCCTAGGAATCCGCTGAACTGCCTCGTTTCCTTTGATGAAACCTCTTCTGTTTAGAGGGACTAGTTAGCTAAAGGGACTCCATTGTCTACAACTAAGAATCCTGACCAATGCTGTAAATTTGAAGTGGGCCCAGATATATGTATTTTTAGCAACCTCTCCCCAGCAAGTCTGTTATTTTGGGAACTACTGACTGTACAAATGTCTTTCTTTCTTTCTTTTTTTTTTTTAAAGATGATGAAACGAAGGCCCAGAAAGGGGACATGGCTTGCTGACAACATAGCTGGTTGGTGACAGGGTCAAAATGACTGCAGCCTATCCCAGCTCCTAGTCCCACGCTCTTGATGGCATTCTCCTCTACGGCAGTTGGTGGTCAAGTGTGAAATCACAGGACACCTGGTGAGTTTCTCTAGGACGGAGGTCAGCACACGATGGGCGACCTGTGAGCCCCACCCAGCCCGCTGGTTGAATTTGTAAATTGTGCCATTGAAACACAGCTCTGCCCGTGTTTACACTTTGTCTCTGGCTGCTTTCGTGTTACAGGAACATGGTTGAGTACCTGTGTCAGGTAATGTATGGCCTGCAAAGCCCGAAGTATTGATTGTCTGGACCCTACAGACAAATCTGCCAGTTTGTTTAGGAGGTCAGAGAAGGGGACATTACAGACACTTTTTGGAGGTATTGAATCAAAAGAATCACTATAGGTAGACACAGGAAGAAAGGGCTTCCCAGGCGTACGGCAGGGCTTGTTGGGCGGGCCAGGACTCTGGGGGTGGGGGGGCCATGAAGCCAGGCTGAGGTTCCCCCAATACTCACATAGATGCTAAGTGTTGTTGTAAGTGGTGGGTAAACAGTTACAACATCTTAGCCGGCATCCACCAGCTAAGTGTTTTCAGAGGAATTCAGGGGCTTTTCCATTGCCCATCAAGAAAGAAACACCAAACGGGCTTAAAAACCACTGCAAGCTTGTGCTGGTACTGCCGTGAGGTGTGGTGGGGAACCCCTTTCCTTGGCGGGGCGGGGGGCACAGTCAGTGAGGGAGGCATCCATTCACCCTTCAGGGCTCACTCAACAGCCAGAACACTGATTTCTCATCCCATCACCCTCAGCCCTGCTGGGGGCTGGGGCAGGAGGTGACGGGAAGGTCACTGCACCCCGCAAAGCACTGGGACCCATGAATCTTCCTTATGCTCTCTGCGCCGAAAGTGGGGTCCAGAGAACTAGGATTTATGAGATGTTGCGCGCGCCTCTGGGAGAGAAAATAAATCCAGTGTCTGGAACATCAAGCCCTGGTCCATGCAGTCTCAAGAGTGAGTTATCTGCCTTGGGAAATGAAGGGGCGGGGCCTGGTGTCTGGAGCGTTTCTAAGTGAAGAGCTGCATTCTCGGTCCAGGAGCTAAGGCTGCGGGGGTCTGAGCCCGCCCGACTCAGTGCCCGGAAACCCTTCCCGCACGCTGTGGCCCAGCCTCTCCATCCACTGGGCAGACGCTCCCTCATCTCAGGGGGTTTAATCCTGTCCTCTCAGCAAGAACACAGGCCTTGGCCTCTCCTTATCGACAGCAGAGCTGCGGACTGGCTCTTTGACAAACTCTATTCAACAGACAATCCACTTTCCTTCATCCTGGACGTGCCAGAAATCCAGTCGTCTGTCACAAGGCCCACGGTGGCCCCAGAGGAATCTCTGCCCTGGGAATAACACCAGACAGTTTGCAACGTGCCTTAAACCTACATCCATCTTCTTTCTCGCATACAATTCTTTGGTGAGCCTCACAACGACGCTCACCACCTCTCTGAGACTCGGTTTCTCATCTAGACGATTGAGATAATGGCGCGCCCCTTGTTCAGGTCAGAAACTGGCATGCAGAAGGTTCCAGCACATCCTCTCACCCTCTCGCTGCGTCCTCGCCCATTGCATTCATGCTAAAAAAGGGCGTTAAGTGAGGCGGAATGCTGGACAAGAGGAAAGGGAAGCAGTGTTTTCCTCTCTGGCTTTGAAAGATGTTCCATTGTCTGATTTTTGTGAGCAATGGGGTTACCATCCTAGGGTAGTCTGCTCAAGTTAACATAAGAATAAAGACAACCAGCCATTGAATATGAAATGTTCCCTATGTACCAGGCATTGGACCATATGTTAATCCATATGTTAATCCAAATCCCGGTAAAAACCCTGACGGTGCTGGGATGGTTCCAGTTTACCCAAGTGCCAGAGCAGAGACGATCTCCCACATATGCACCCAGAAGTGTGTTTGCAGCTACTCAGTTCCCACCAGTGGGCAGAAGGCCATGACTGCACAGGCGTCCCCTTAACACATGCCGCAGTCCCCCACGCAGGCTCCCATCACTGTGCACCCACTAAACTTAATCTTGGTTTCTGCATAAAAAAATAAATAAATAAAAATTTCTCCATGGGAGGGAGACTCTGGCTTCCTGCAGAGCTGTGCAGAATTCTGGGTCAGAGGGACTTTGGCGCCAGCAGCTGGGGACGCTGGGGGCATGCGCCTGTTAGAATTTTGACACCCATCTGGCAGAGAGACCTCAGATGAAGAGAAGAAATTGTTATCTGTCCACGGGGGCCTTGGGACTGTGCGTGAGAGAAAAGGCCAGACAAGTGTAGCCTGACAGATAAATGAACCCCCAGGAAACCTCAGGATTGAACCTTCTGACTCGAGACAAGAAATTCCTTCGGGAAGATGGAGAACTGACTCCCTGACCAGTTTTCTTTCATGCAATCGTATCTCTTCCTCTGTCTCCTCATCCTTTCCCTTTTTCATTTCTAAAATCTGCATAATGTGATATACCCAAATTAAAGTGAAATCTGAATGTTATTTTGAAGCTTGAGACTTCTGTGAGGTGAGGGTTTGAGAAAGCTAGGTGGCACCTGTCCCTGCTGTGTTCGCCTACATGCAGACAGTGCCACTTCACTTTCCTTACGGGAAGGCAGGCCAGCAGCACTGGGCAGTGAAAGATTTTTCTAGAGAAGCTGGGAATCTGGAGTCTTTCCAGAAAAATCTCTGGACTTTTAAGCCTAAGAGCCTCAACCTCTTTGCCACGCTGTAGCTCAGACACCATCTGATGGCTGTCCGTGTGCCATCTCTGTCTTAGCTCATCCCATATTCTGGGGGCAGCATTTCATAGAAGTGTCATGACTGCAGGTGGAAGACACCCCCTAAAGACAATGCAGTGTGATTTTCAAACTGTGGTCCCTGCAGCCCTTAGAGTACCAAGGGGGTGTGACAGCGGGGGCCACGGGGCTGGAACTGGTGCTTAACAGCACCCCTTTTTCCCATCTCACTGCTGCGGCAACCAAAGCTGCTCCAGTCTTACATGTTGTAAATACTGGGTCTCCAAGAAGCATTGTATTTGAGGAATGAAAAAGAGAGGAAGGAATGAAGGAAGGAATGGAATGAGGGAGGACAGAGGAAGAAGTGACAGAGGGAAGTCGGGAAGGAGGGCCTTGGGTGTTGGAGTCAAGGCTTTACTTTATGGCTGTTCACAGGGCACAGCAAGGGTTAGGATTCATGCTGGGGGCTTCCGAACGGACTCGCTGAGCTCAAGTCCGTTCTCACCAGTTACTGGCTGGATTTCTCTGGGCAACTCTGCAAAGCGGGCATACTAATCCTTCCTGTTTCACAGAGGATTAAGTCAATGAGTGGATAACTTTCATGCACTGAGGACAGGCCCTGGCATTAGCCAACGTCAACCAACGTCAGCTGCTCTTGATTTTAGCAGGTCGCGCGACTGCGAGCGTTCTCAGCGGGTGTCGGTTTGGCTGCCTAAAGTCACCTTTGAGACATGCTCCTTTAGGGCTTGTCCTGGAGCCCCCTGCCTAAAAGACACAGTGGAAACGCTGATTCTGTGCCGTTCATTGTGAACTGGGACTCATTCAACTGTGTTACTCGATAGCTGTCCCTGTCAGACACGGCACCATGATATGATGCATTATGCTGACAGATGGGGACCCAGAAAAGAAGACACTTGTCTGCAGTTCTGTCTGTGGTCAGTGACCCCCTACTGTCTCTGAGCCACCAAAAATCTTTGCTAAGCTTTTGCCTTGTAGGGACCAAGAGCCCTCCACGCCATCATATACGGGGCTTGCGTTGTTGTTGGAGCAATAAAGAGAGGAATTGAAACCCTTAAGTGACTGCAGAGAGCGTCCCAGAACCACCACTTGCTAAATCCAATAGTGTAGATTTATTGCAGCAACTCTTGAAAGAAAATGTTCAAAATTGGCTTTAAAAAAAAGCTCTTACTCAAAAGCAAATAAATTCCTCC